TAGTTATCAAAAGCAAAGAAAGCTGAAAATAGATAGATGGAAAAATAAATAAACAAAAAAGTCGAGATAAATGAATACCCCCCCAAAAAAAAAAGGGAAAAGAAAAAAAAAAGACAAAAAAAAAAAGAAAAAAAAAAATCCTTTTCCATTTTAGGGATAACTGCGTTTTTTTTTCTGTAAATGCTCACTGCGCGTCAATGACTTCCTTCAGAGGAGAATTCTGAGGGTAGGCAATCCCGCCATACTGGGTGAAGAGCGGTTCCGTGCCTGACTTGAGTCGACACACTTGTTCGGCGCCAACTGCCAGGCAGCAAAAAAAGACAGAAAATGACAATCTATAAATAAAAGACAAAGACCTATGGCCGTTAGAAAGGTTATATCAATACGCAAAACATATATTTGATGCATTTGAAACAGCTTGATAACTGTACCTGCGTCGACTACCAGGCAGCAAAAAACATCTAACAACGAAACAAACAAAAGACTATCGGCTAGTTTGTTAAAACTGACCCAAGGAAAATTCTCAAACACGGACAAGCATATACATAGATATAATTGCATATATATCTAATAGATATACATTTATCTTTCTATCTATCCATTAGATATGCACGTCTAGACTAATTGATATCCATTTATGTCCGTATATATGCATGTCCATATAAGGAATATCCACCGGAAAAAAACGCATGGACCGTTAGAATAGGTTATACCAACACACATAAAGCTTTTGATAGCCGATGCAGTGGAAACAGCTTGGTAAATTGATCTGCGGGATTAACTAATTGACTTCTGATGAATTCCAATAGATCCTACAGCGTGTTAGTAAGATTATAGGTAGGGAAACCGGATGAAATTCCATTAGGTATAGACCACGCCAGACCATGAAGTAGATCCATGTGTTATTAGTAAAACACTGTTGGAAAGCGCTGAGCTCAACAACAAAAATCACAAGTAGAATTAAAAGGAGTGTGAATTTCAGTATCTTGATAATGAAAATAATAATAATAATGATAATGATATTGATTATGATAATGATATCTAAAAATAATGATATAAATAACAGCGGTAACAAAAAGCAATTATGAAAATAATAATGGTGACGATAATAATGATAATATTAACAACAACAACAATAATAACAATGAGTAATAATAATAATGATAATAATAATAATAATAATAATAATAATAATAATAATAATAATAACAACAATAAAATCAATAATATAACAAAATAATAATCATAATAATAACAACAAAAACAATAATAATAATAATGATGGCAACAAAAACAATGATGATGATAATTATAATAATAATAACCGTTACAATCACCTGTTTCAGAGTTCGCATCCTGTATTCCAGTAATTGCTACGATGCTCACTGAAAATAAGCAAAAAATGTCACGTTTTTTATATTAAATTATTTACTGTTTATGTATGCATCTATAATCTATCCATCTTTCTGCCTCCCTGTCTATCTATCTGTTTATCAGTCTATCTATATAAATCTATCTATTTAATAACATATTTATTCATTCATCAATCTGTATATCTGTATACATATAAACACTTAATATAAACTATAAAGTAGATCAAGATAATTCATAGTATGAGATTTAAATGACTAAATCTACATCTACAGGGGACAAAATAGAAAATAAAAATCAAGGCGGACAGATAAAAAAAATGCTTTTATAAACAGAGAGGCTGGATGAGACGTGGCTGCCAGACACAAGGAAACGAAAGAAAATACAAAAAGACGCATGAGAGACTTCATATGTAACGAGAATGGATGACGGGACTGTGCGCACACCATGGAGAGAGAAGTAATATATTAAAACACAGGCTACCATGACGAAACTCATTAGCAGCTAGGAAGGCGCAGGATTTTACCCAAGAGAGCGACAGGCTCGGTGAGAACCTCCGTTATGTATTTTTGGTCAGGCGTTAGGCCTACATCTTGGCGAAAGCGAGCGGTCTGCAGGATGTACTGGTGCTCCTCGATCGGGGATGACTGTGGATAACGTGTACAAAATATAATGATAATGATTGTAATAATAATAATAATAATAACCGTTGCAATCATCTGTTTCAGAGTTCATATATGTATATATGTATATATATATATATATATATATATATATATATATATTATATATATATATGTATATATATATATATAATATATATATATATATATATATATATATATATAATATATATATTATATATATATATATATATATATATATAATATATATTATATATATATGTGTGTGTGTGTGTGTGTGTGTGTGTGTGTGTGTGTGTGTGTGTGTGTGTGTGTGTGTGTGTGTGTGTGTGTGTAGAAAAACCCACAATGCACAAACTAGATTTATTGAAGAAAGTGAGACAAGTTTCGGAATCGCCCTCGATTCCATCTTCGGAATATATATATATACATATTTATATGGTGTTCATGTGTGTGTGAATGTGAAAAAATGTACATGAGAAATTGAAACTAAATATATCCCTTTCTGCTATATTCTTCCTTCTTATATGTTTCCCGAAACCTGTTAACTGTATTTTAGTACTCATACCATCATATCCGAAAGTAAAGGCGTGTGATAGACATTCACCTCTCGGCCAACCTGACTTTCCATCGCCGATCCTTCATACAAAGCCCCACCGGAACCCAAGAATCCTTTAGAACACGAAAACCTCACCTTCATTTTGTAATACTGTGAGTACCCTCGGCTGATGGACATGTCATAGCCCATCTCGATCATCTCCCTGACAGTGTTGGGCACCTTGGACATGCGAGGGATGGAGAGGAAGGCTGTCAAGTGCCCGTTGTAAACCGACACCACCATAATGACCACAAGCCACGTACAGGTCATGACTATTCTTCCCGGGGAGCTCTTGGGCAGATGAGAGGAGCCTGGGCAAGAGGGGGAGGGGGTAGTTAGTTAGCTACGTGTTTATGAAGTGAAGTGTGATTCATTTCTTTTCACGTTTGGGTGTTGGGGGCTGTGGGTGTTATGTTTGGTGTAAAAAATCTTGATCTGTGAAGTAGTGTTTGAAATACATCATTTCTGAATACAGTCACACAGAATACCCGAGCGGAGGGTGTTATGTTTGGTAAAAAAATCTTGATCTGTGAAGTAGTGTTTGGAACACATTTCTGAATACACTCACCCACATAATACCCGAGCAGTGGGTGTTGTGCTTAGTTAAAAAAAATCTTTATGCGAATTAGTGTTTAAAATACCTTTCTGAATACACTTACACAGAATACCCGGTGTAATTTACCTGTGTTTCTCTGTTCCATCCAGCCGACAGCATGCACAGGTATTTGTGTATAACCTGCTTTGCAAAGGTCTATACCTTTAGCCCTTCTTCCAGTAAAAGAACTGTTGCTTTTATTTCTTTTGTATCAACCGTGGCATTAATTCGAACATATCCCTTGTTAAACGGCATCAGACTTCTATTTCTTTCCTTTTTTATTGGCCTCTTTTGCTTCTTCCATGATATCTTTTATCCCTGCCTCTGCATCAGCGGTGGGGTCTGAGCCTACTCTGAGCTCTTTCCTGATACATAATTAATTGCGCTCTCACTTTCCTTCTTGGTTCTTTTGGTGATACGTGTGGGTGCACACACACACACACACACACACACACACACACACACCACACACACACGCACACGCACACGCACACGCACACACGCACACACACACACACACACACACACACCACACATATATATATATATATATATATATATATATATATATATATATATATATGGCACTTCACCGCACCCAAAATTATCTATGGTTGACGTTATCCCTGCTATCCCTCGCGTCCTGATTCCCTCCATCATAATCTCAGGAAATTACAACAATAAATCACTTTAACCAAAATCTACCACGAGGTATTTGTGAACAACGCACACTGGCCCTGACTTCGTCTCTAACCAGTAAATGTTTTTGGCCTTTACACAGGAAAAAAAAAAAATCAAATAAACTCTGCAAGGTTGGTTTTCATCTTTTTTCCTGACCTCCAGGCCTCATTGCGCAGTTCCTGAAAGCTTTCTAAAGGAAATGGCTCACCGAGTCGCCCGAGTGCTTTGCCAACATTGAAATCATCCTGAGCTTAAACACGATATTTAATTCCAAAGACTGGCCATCCATTGATCACAAATCGCAATTAAAAGTTCATGCAAATACACCCGGTGAACAGGACTCATTAATAGATTACGCGATAAACTCACTGCTCTCTAACTTCGCGTGCGGATATATTCACGCGCGCGGGTATGCTTGCGTGTACGTGTGTATGTCGGACTTTTCCCCTCAACTGCTCGGGCGCTGGAGTGCATGGACCGTGGAACCGATTCGTCCAGCTGCATGAACCGGTCTCTGAGAGATGTTTTATCTCGGGTGGAATGGAGGCGCTCAAGGCCAGACCAAATATATCCTGGAATGTTTGGCTGTTTACTTTCTCCTCTCGTGGAAAAGATTCGGATAAAGGAATGTCAGAAAAAGTCTCGCAGATTTCGGAGCATAAACGGGTTTATTGTTTGCAAGGTTCGTAAGGCAGCTATATCTTACGGCAAGATTTTACCGTGTAAACATGAGCATTAATCCTATCTGATGTAAATATGTGATTTAAGCACTTACGGATTACATGCCTGAAAATGCTCGAAACTGCTTGCTGCAGTCAACAGCTGGTTTATCACAACGATAAAATATTTTTCATAATTTCTCCAATATCTATTTCGAATCATTTCAGTTTTCTGAGTCATAATCACGGAAGTTTATGTGACGTCATCTTGCTGATCATCATCGCTTCAAAGTGAAAATACAATATATATATGTATATATATGCAACGAAAAAACACAATACCGTGTTGATAATATGGAAGAAAATCCCGTATATATATATATATAATATATAATATATAAATAAGTAGTACAGCTTAAGAGCTTATCCATAATCATCAACATTTTTACAAG